AGAAAGAAAGAAAGAAAGAAAGAAAGAAAGAAAGAAAGAAAGAAAGAGGGAGAGGAAAGGAGAGAAAGAAAAGGAGAGAGAGAGAGAGAGAGGAAGGGAGAGGAAGAGGGAAAGTGTCGCCCTCGGCTGGAGCCGCAGCTCGACACCATCAAATGTACCAGCTGGTGAAGGCTAGCTGTGAGTAAAGCCTGCCACGAACTCTCCAAGCCAGCTAAGACATCAGCTCAGCAACGGAGCTTCAAATCCACTTTTCCCCCACAACAACGGCGGGAGCTAACAATACGCGTCAGCAGGGCGTCGGCTAGCCATGGTGATTGAAGCAGCACGAGGGAACCGAGCTGGCCGGAGATCGCTGAGCCGATAGGGACATCTGGAAGCGTGTTAGCTTGGTGGAAGTGTTAGGGGTTCATAATGTAGCACAGCTTGGTGATGGGCGAATTGTGGTGTGGGACAACGAAGTTAGCTGTCACCAATTAGGAACGGGATGCTGGCTAGCTGTGGGGAGGGGCTGCTGGATGTGGGAAAGTGGGATAAATAGAATGCTGGGATCGGTGAACTCTCAGCGCTAACTTTATTTACATATGCTCGTTGCTTCTTGCTACCATCTGTGACGGAATAAACAATTCTGGGACTTTCCTTAACCCCAAAAAGTCATAAACTAAAGTCATAAACTAAAAGAATGCTGGTTCCTTCTGTTTATAGTTGAAGAAGCTACTTTCCAGGGAAAAGCCCCTCAGAGATCCTTCCCTGAGTGAGTAGTCAGTTGGCCATCTTTTCACCGGAAGCCACTGAGCATCATTATGGAAAAAGATTACAACATATAAATAAATTAATATGCCAACTAGATACTGTGTTATAATGGCCATGAGCTGCTAGTCAAAATTTTCAAAACTACATAGAATTATATACATGCCTTATATCATATTTTGTATTGAGTATCTTTCTATCTTGCCTCATTATTCATATCTTCATTATAATGAAGATGCTTTATTATTCTTGCCACAGCAATGCCACAGATCTTGTATCAGTGGATCACTTGAGAAGTATCAGCTAATGCAGAATGAATGCAAACCATATATCCTCCCGTTACAAGCTACAGTGCTCGGTGCAGGTATTGAAGACCATAAGTATCTCATATATATTATAATTACAGTTCATATTCCAACCATGTCAGAAACGCTTTTCAGCAGTGGCCTTGCACAGATAGAAATATATGACATTGGCTTCAATAAGAAATATAGGTGAGAGAAAAACCACTTTTTTTTGTAATAGAAAGTAAAGACTCATGCAATGCAAATTTGATTTCTAGACCCACATGTCTAGTCAATTATAATTAGTAATTAGTCAATTATAATATAACTATTACCATGTTTCAATTTCTTATTTTTCTATCTAACCATTCATAAAATAAATCCCAAATTTTATAGTACTGTTTTTCCTCCTGTTCTCTAAATGCCATTGTTAATCTACTCATTTCCGCACATTCCATTATTTTCTTAATTATTTTCTCCTCTGTTGGAATTTTCTTATTTTTCCAATTTTGTGCAAATATGATTCTAGCTGCTGTTAATACATTAATAATTAAATATGTTATCTTTCTATTATAACCTTCAGGCATAATTCCTAATAAAAATATCTCTGGTTTTAAATCTATGTGTTGTATTATCATGTATTCTAGTTCAGTATCTTTTAGCTTCAATGCATGTTCATATTACCAAATATGGTAATATGATCCAGGTATCCAATAATTATCTTAATTCTTGTTTTCTTTCCTTGCCAAATAAATTTCAGCATCGTTTTATTTAAATCCTCAAAATAGTTTTTCCTCAATTTTATTGGAATGATCTGGAATAAGTATAGTATTTTTGGCAATATGTTCATTTTAATCGTCGCTATTCTCCCTGTTAAAGATAGTTGTAAGCTTTTCCATTTTTCCAAATCTGTCGCAATTTGGTGTTTCAATCTATCATAATTATCCTCTTTAAGAGTCCCATGTCTTGCTGTCATTTGTATCCCTAGGTATTACACTTTTTTTGTGATCTGGATATTTAATCTGTCCATTAGTAATTTCTTTTGTTTTTCTCTCATATTCTTCACTAGAATCTTAGTTTTTTCCTTATTTATTTTCAATCCTGCAGCCTCTCAGTATTCTTCTATCTTTTCTATTAATTTAGGGCCTGTTTCCAACAGTTCTTCCAGTATAAATACTAGATCATTTACAAATGCTTGTAATTTATACTCCTCCTTTTTTATTTTCATTCCATTTATTTCTTCATTTTTCCTAATATTTCTGTTCAATACTTCCAGGGTTAATACAAATAACAATAGCGACAACAGACATCCTTGTCTAGTTCCTTTTTGGATATTAATATTATCTGTCAGATCTCCATTTATCATTACTCTTGCTGTTTGCTTCTTGTATATTGCCTCAACTGCTTTAATGAATCTATCTCCAAATCCCATCTCTTCTAATTGCGACATCATAAATTGCCAATTAACATTGTCAAAAACTTTCTGTGCATCTAAGAAAACCAATGCCATTTGTTTTCCTGGATGTGCTTCATAGTATTCCAATGTATTCAATATTATCCTCATGTTATTTTTTAATTGTCTCTTAGGTAAGAATCCATTTTGATCTGAATGTATAAAGTGATTCAGATATCTTTTAAGTCTTTCTGCCATTGTTGAAGCAAATTTTTTTTAATCAGCATTTAACAAGGATATTGGGTTATAATTTTTAATTTATTATAGGTCAGTGTCTTCCTTTGGTATAAGTGTAATTTATGGCTCTGTCCATGAATCAGGAACTTTATTTTTTGTCAATACTTCATTCATTACTTCAAGCATTGTAATACAAATTGGTTCCTGTAATATCTTATAAAATTCTGCTGGTAGCCCATCCGGACCCAGAGTTTTTCCAATATTTTGCCTATTTATTGCTTCTGTCAATTCCATTATTGTTATTCTGTCTTCTAACATTAGTTTCATCAGGTATTTTTGGTAATACTGTCTCTTTCAGGTATTGCTGAATTTTCCCTTCTATGATTATCTCTTGCTCATATAATTTCTCATAGTATTGCTGCACTATTTTTTTCTTTTCTTCATTTCCATAACATAACATTCCATTTTCATCTGTTAATTGTGCTTTTCAATTCTCTCTCTTCTTTCAATTTATATGCTAGCTATCTACCTGGCTTATTGGCATTTTCAAAAAAGTTCTGTTTAGCTGTCTTAATTTTTTGTGCCAATTCTTCTTTTTCCATTAGCCCCATTTTATGTTTAATTATATCAATTTGGTTATTAAGATTTTTATGCTATGGATTTCATTGTAGTTACTTTTCCAATTTCTTATAGTTTTCTTCTAAGATCTGTTGTGTTTGTCTTTTTTTGATATTTCTTCTTCTTGTATAAGTTATAATCACGCCTTTGGCATAGGCCTCCATAGTATCCCATACATTTTGTAATGAAGTGTCCTCCTTTTTATTTTCTTTAAAAAAGAATGTCAATTCTTTCCCCATGACATTAATTCTTTTTACTGCAGAATTGAATTATTCAAAGTCCATCTTAATGTTTTCCTTTGATCTCTCCATTTGACCCATATTGGATTATGGTCCATATTGGATTATGGTACTTGTTTCAATATTAACTTTTTGTATGTTTGAGATCAAATCCATTGACATCCAAATCATATCTATTCTTGACCATGATAAGTGTCTATTGGAGTAAAATGTACATTGTCTATTCTTACTGTTCAATTGTCTCCATATGTCTTTAATGTTCAATTCCTCAGCCATCTGAAAGAAGGATTTCGGCAATGTCTTTGTATTTTTTTAAATTCACTTTCTGTGTTTTATAGTCCAATCCTGTGTCTACAATAGCATTAGTCTCCAAGAATGCATATCTTGTCATATTCCAGTTCAGTTATCTTGTTATGTAATTTCTTGTAGAATTCGTCTTGTTTATTGTTTGGTGCATATATTGCTATTAAGAGCATCATTGAGTTATTATCTGTTATTTCCACCATCAATATTCTCCCTTCTTCATCTGTAAAAATTAGTTCAGCTTTAATTGTATTCTTAATGTATAAAACAATTCCTCTCTTATCCTGTTGTGCTAAAGATGTATATAAATTGCCAATTTTAGGATAGTTTAAAAGACATGCATGTTTTTTTTTAATATGCACTTTTTGTAAACAAATTATGTCCATCTTTAATTTTTCTAGTTTATGAAATGTCATTTTCCTTTTAATAGCTGAGTTCAATCCATTTATGTTTATGGAGATTTATTTCTTTTCTTCTTCCATTATTTATAATTTATATGTAGGATTTATTCTTGTTGTTCTTTGTTGTCTTGGTT